GCAAATTCGCTATCGCTAGCGTTAGTATGCGTTAGTGAATGTTGTAACAACTCATTCGCTAACGCCCTAGACTGTTGTAAGGAGTGCAAATTTGCTACCGCGAACGTTAGTGAATGCTGTAACGATGTTTTTTTTCCCTAGCCCACTTGAACTTGGCAGCCTCGCCGATCAAGCAAGCGCTGCCCCACCCCAACCAACCTAAACAACAACAAACCAACAACATGTATGGAGTGCGGAAGTTTCTATGAAACCCAGTTTGGGTCCACAGCTACAAAACCAATATTGTTCTTTTTGAGCAAACATAGATGTGAACACCTGTATGTGTGTTGTGGTTTCAGTTGGCCATTGGATGGACTTCACGAACCCGTTTTGGGCCAGATGTGGGACCTCCTCCCATGCGGGGCTCGGTCAGGGAAGAGGGCTGAAGAGATGGACTCTACAGGGCCTGCAAGGGGTGGTGAATGGACACCCCGAATCACGGCTGTTTGAGGCTATAGACCTGACAGGAGGGTCCTGATATAGACTTTGGAGGATATTTCAGTCCAAGAAATGTTCAATGGATTGTAAAACCTCGTATACTTCAGGCTTGGAGTTGAAAGATCCTCAAAGAATCTGAGTCTACAGGTAGAGTCAGTAATGCGGCACTGGTAGAGGTGTCTCCCTTCGACAGAAACGGCCTCTGGGTGGTGAAAAGAAAAGAAGCATCTAAAGGCGGTCTCAGCCCCAAAGACATTTACCTCTTCAACTCATGTAATGACCTATATATATATATATAGCGCTTGGTTAGACAGGGGTGCCCCAGACCTGGAGACCTGTTGACCTAGTGCGGAGATGTGCAGCCAGGTGACCCCGAACGCCCGGAAGCAGCTGGAGACGAACGGTACCGACTCTCACCACGTGCACCGCGCGGTCTCCGTCTGTCTGACTCGCCCCGGGCCGCGTGGACCGGTCGAAGACCCCGAGACCACGGTCGAGGAAGAGCCCCGAAGCACCCCGAAGTAGACCAGACCGCAACAAGCAGGCGCTGCCACTGGCATCATGGTGGGTGCGGCTGCCAAGGCTGCAAAGGTTGGAAGAATTCACGAGTACTCATTTGCCAAGTTTTAGGTTCTCCAACGCTAAGATACGCAAGTTCAGAGGAATTTTTATTGCCAAAGGAATTGATCATTTCAGCCACCTCAGTGGCGAAAGCTGGTGACATGTCCTTGATTCGTTTCCTTTCGAAGCCGAGTGTGTTTGTGACATGGAGGTCGTTGGAAGGTTGATCATGCCAATATCTGGATCTTTGGATCATTGCCAATTCGTGGCGTCTTTTTTTCATAACCCTGAGCCCTACAGCCTAAACCCTAAACCCGAACCAGAGTCTAAGGCCTCCGCCTTGGAAGAGTTGGCTGGTGAGTGCCGACGAGACGTGCCAGACGTCGTGCACGTTTTGCAAAGACAAGACGTGTGGCTTTGGCAAAAGGGAACGAGTGGGCGGGGTGACCAAGGGGTTGACTTGATGGAGAGTCTTGGTTCAAGTTGCCGTGACTGCTAGCAACAAGGACGCTACTAGGAGATACTAGGAGCAAAGGGCATCGCTACTAGGATGTTTGAATGCACTTTGGATGCCACTCAAGCTTTCATGGCGGATGTCCTGTGACTGATGTCCATCGCGGCGGCGTTGCTTTGGCTCAAATTCGACGGGTGTTCGGAATCTGAATAGAATCTAATAATTTCACAAGCTATAGAAACTCGTTCCCAGCATGCTCCTAGCATGCACGTATGCAACTGGCTACGCCATGTGATTCCATGACCGGCGATTGGCAACCAGATCATTTCTCGGCTAGTGAGCAGCCAGTGTTGTTCTGGGAGCCAGCAAGATGTCAACAACAAATTCCAACTTTCTTGCAAAGCTAATCCAAGTGCCAGCCTTGCCAATGCACTTATCGGTGGGAACCATGCGTCCACACCTCAGTCGTTGTGCATGATTTGTTGGTCAGGCTGGCTGGTTGGCAGGAATTCTCATCTACCTACCATAAAGGTCCATCGGCAACGAGCAAACTTACATAAGGTGGCTGCTCCTGAGAAAGTAGTTGATTCCATGATTATTATATATTTAGTATTTTCCAGGGATCGCTTCACGGCTCAAGAGTCTGGCTGTGCCATGTTGTGCCCCTTATTTTTTGCATCGTTTGCGACCAATCCAACAGGCGAAGTTCGTTCACCGCTGAGGCTCTTGGATTCGCATGCGTGGCTTATCTCGGCATCTCTCGCGGCCCTGCGGTCGAGGCGTCTCAATTTCGAAAACATGGAACAGATTGTTCTCTTGGAATCCGCAGAAGGGTCTTCGGACGTGTACACCAGAAACACCCAAAGAAAATCAATGAAACCAAAGCTGTACACCAGTCATACCTCCTCAGAAGGTATTTGGACCCTCGTGGCACCCACCCCAGTCCCACCTTCTCAAGTGGATTTCATGTGGATTTCAAGTGTTTCTTTCAGATCAGCCTGAAGGTGTTCCTGAAGTGGGAGCCCAGTTCTTCTTTCTGGTGCTTTGATTGGTCGTCCGTCTTCACTCTGAAAGGCTCTGTCCACACGTCCAGTGGCCTCACTCGGAGAGGCTGACGATCTCAGTGGCTGACAACGTCGTCGCGTGCCGCGCCGCGCGTGGCTGACGTGTTCACCGCTCTGAAGTTTGCTATCCCGAACAGGGATCCTATTACAATCTAGGAACCTTCTCAGAAGGTGTTTGGATCCTTCTGGCGACACAAAACTGTCTCAGATCAACTCTCAGATAGGTCGGGTGTGTGTTGCTCCATCCATAGGGTATGAAGATGGAGGCCAGGAGATCTCGCGGGAGAGTTCAGTGGTTCTGATGACGAGTTGTCCTGGGACGTCTGGATTTTCATTGCCCCACTGACGTCTTTTTGGCAGCTCCAATGGGAAGTAGAGCCAGTCCAAGTAGAGCTCCCTTCCCAAACTGTTTCAGAAGGAGATGTAGTTTTCATCAAAGTGCTCTCATGCTCGGACGAGGTGCTTTTCAGAGTCTTCGCTGCTTCTCCAACGAGGAGAGCCAGGGCCATGAAGGGCGGCGTACTCTCCAAGCATGTTCGGTCATCATTGAACAACTCACATCCAGGCCCGGCCAGAGGCCCTGTATAGATCGGTGAGCATCGACCGTTATGATAGAGTATCATACCTAGCACTTCCAACGGGTGCCCTGTCTGGAGACCTGTTTACGTAGGGTAGGGTAGTCTATTGGACACCCATTGGATGATCCTGGTAGTAATATGTATATAAAGTATTTGAACATAATCAATATGGATTCATATCTCATATAAATATAAGTGCATACACCGGGAACCACTGACTATAAAGGTAACGGTCTTTCCGGGGCTTGAAAGGAACTTCCTTTGATTCACTAAGGAAAAGTACAGTCTTTGGACTTCTATAGTAACTACCAGGATCATCCTGTCTGGGTGTCCTGGCTAGACTACCCTACCCTACGTAAACAGGTCTCCAGACAGGGCACCCGGCCTGGAAGTGATGCGATGCTCAAGTCATTCGACGTTTGTAACTTCCTCCACTTCGACCCCGGCGATACTGGAACGAACGAAGCGGCGATACATCAAGCAACGTGACCAGGTTTCATCAAGCAACGTGCTTGGGGGTTCAGCATCACCCAAGTCAGGAACCTTCTACTTTTGAGTGGGAAGACAACACACTTTGAGGAGTTGATACTTAGGTTTAGGGTTTAGGGGCCGAGGTGCTTTGAGGTCAACACTCCCCGCCATGGGATCTTTCATCACGGTTCTTGAGAATCACTTGGTGTCGACAGTCAAAGCACAAGAACCTCCTTCTTCACCTTTTCTCCTGTGGTTCTTCCATGGGGGCCATGGCAAGTGCATCCTTGAAACGGTCTCCTTGGAGAGAATTCCCATTGACCCGTACGTGAAACATCTAATTAGTGATTTCAACGCTCCCAACGCTTCCCAGTTCCCCGCCAGGGCTTCCAGTGTCCGGCGTGCGGAGCTCCCTCCTCGCCCCTGGTTTGCAGGACGACGTGACGATGTCTAAACAAATTCGTTGGGTGAAGTAAACCTACTAGCGATGGCCTCCAACCTAATAGGAATGGTTTGCAACCTTATAGCAAACCTCCCATATGAAGATTATGAAGAGCCTCCCATATGAAGACTCTGGATTGATGAACCTTCCAAGCCTGAAGAGGCTTTTTCAATCCATCTTTGGGGGTTTATGAATCAAGAGTCTACACTAGATGATCTCATCTTTGAGGAACCTGTTCTGCAACGTTGGTGGAGGCGGAATCGTCTTCTTAGCGAGGCTCAGGTAAATTGAAGGGAAAACAATGCACCAAAAACAGGCATCGCTGCCTAGCTACCTTCCACAAGGAACCCGGAGATGCCTACAATCTGCTTTATATTAACACGTGTGGACTGTAGACTCTTGATTAACCTCCCCCGGACATGGAGTTTATAAGAGTCTACCAGGGGTCACATGTCGGGGTGTGGCTCGTCTCATCCATTCGGTGGATGTGACAGGGGCACCCCCAATCTCCATGGATAGCCCCTTTGACAAAAGCTCCTCTAAATATGAAGAAATTCGCCTCTCAAGTATCTAAATAAACACAGAAGAACAAAAATCAACTTGGAAGTGTTCATGTTTCATTTAAACCCCTTAGAACCGCTTCTTCCGATCTGCTCCCGACCTCAGCGCCAGGAGCTGTGGACGGCTCCATGAGTCGTCGTCCAGCGGCAGCTTCTTCGAGCTTTTGGGTCGGAGCGCGAGTCGGAGGGAGAAACGAACAAGAAAGGAGGGAGAAACGAGAAGGAAGAGGGGAGAGAACACCTGATCTTCTTCATGATGTGCACTTTTTTTTTTCACAACTGTCGAAGTTCGGGTACGTGTTTTGGAGGCACTTTCCGTTGGTGCACGGAAGAAAGGGTGATTTTGGGGCTGAACACAGCAGCAAACATACTTGATGAACAAAGCAGCAAATCCTTTTCATCCACAAAGAACTGTCAAGTGAGGCAGTTCAACTCAGAGCACGTCGTCGGAAGATCCCAGGTCTGTGTGGGGCACCCGAAACCGGCTTTTTGCATGCCTACAAGCTCTAGCTGTGAAGAAGGTTTGCTTTTTGGATGCAGCGATTGGTTTCTGCCACTTGTTTTTAACCAGGTGGAAGGATCTGCAATCTCAAGTGTAGATTGCTAGGATTTTGAACCAGGTGGAAGGATCTCGAAGGATCTCGGCAGTTTCTCATCCCAAAAAGCTTCTCTTTCGGCCCATCGTCGCTCATGGCCAGGTCTGAGCAGTACCTACGAGGTGCGGCGGGGTCGACCGGTCCGGTCTCTCTTCACCTCGCTCCGGTGGCTCCGGAGGTGAAACCTCAAGAGGTGGACAGCTCCTACAAGGTGCGGAGCAGAGCGCCGGAGCGGAGAGCCCGAGGATCGAACAGTTTCAGAGGTCTCGGAAGTGTCGGAAGTGTCGAAGGTTGGAAGATCCCGAATGGTCCCGGCCGCTGTTTTTCTAGCTCGCGGCCGGCCGCTGTTCGGCTCTCGCCTCGTGTTCAACAGGGCGCCCTTTTGTGGAATCGCACCAGGACCGAACTTCAGCGACACCGAACTTCAGTGACCCCACTGAGCTCTCAAACGGTGGGAAGGTCCTGGAGCTCCGATCCTCAGGATTTGCAGCGTCTCCTTCATCCCGATCGCCACGTCGCCGGCACAGAGGAGACCGAGGGTCCCGAGCGCTCGGTCGCGCGGCCGGAGCGCCGGTCGCGAGACAGAATATCATCATCCTGGAGGAGTTAGTAAAACTAGATATACCTGGACCCGACTGACCCAGTACCTTAGAAAATGAGACATGACCCTATAAAAACAGGTACGACTGTACCCATTTTCTGAAGTACGAACGGGTCGACTCCAGGTATGATCGAACCTCTGAAGCCACCTGTCGTTTTTGTTGAACCTTTGCGGAGAATATTGCAGAATTCATTTACTTGAGGGTACAAGCCTAGAGCCAGAAAGCAAACCACACCTCTACTTGGGCTCAAACAGAGCCCACCCACTGAGTCAAAAAAGGTGTTTCGGGCACCATCGACTTCACGGAATTCGTGGTGTTTTTGCAGGACCCAGGTGCGAACTCGACAGAAACTGGACCTGTCGAGAGCAAACGAAGTGGAGATCAGAGGGTGGAGAGGCCCAAGGGTGTTTGCTTTTAAAAGTGCTTGCCCAGACGCTCCAAACAGGCCGACTGGTCCCTCAAAACCATAGGGATTTGAGGGTGCCGGACCCCTCCATATGAGGGTACGGCCCCTACTGAACGCAGGGTCCATGAGCGTCTGGGTGGAACATCTTGGGAACATCAAGCAGCTCTGACTTATAGGTCATTCCTTCACATGACAAAAGAATGTCATGTTCACCGACTAGGGCTGACTTGTGGATTTCACCATCAGTTTGTTTATGTCTTTTTCGCACCAGAGTCACTTCAGTGAGCCCCCAAAGAAGTATTGCAGCACGTTGCAACCAAAAAGCAGAGCCTTCTCCCACTCGACGAAGCTGAGTTTTGCTCCGTCTTGTCACCTCCCCAGGAGCAACGAGAGCTGGCCGATTCTCATTCAGCCCACGTGAACGAAGCGGTTTCTCGGAGCGACGCGTCCGGAACGTCACGCGTCCGTCACGCCGTCGCGACTCTCGCGAACGGAACTCGGTTCACTCGTCGCTTCCTTAGTTAACTATAGTAAGGCCAGGAACCCCGGAACTCGTAGTCGCTTCTTGTTCCTTGCTATCAGATTTCCTGAGCCTTGGGAGAGGACATGAAAAGATGTTCCATGTCATGTGCAGAGTTCACAAAATTGAAGTCAAAGCGTGTGAGGATGGAGATGGGCGCCCTTTTGGAACAGAAAGCCACTCTGGATGGGCTGGGCTGGATCTTGCCGACTTCCTTGGCAACTCATTCTCTTCGCACCAAGACTATATATAGACAACGACTACTTGCCAGAGGGCAAAACTCCGGGAAGATGTGAAACCACACCCGCCGCCATGGTGCTCCATGCCGTCCATGGCTTATTGCCGTGGTGGAAACACCAGGGCCAAGCATTTCAACCGTCCTTCCCCGCCACGCAGGCTGCAGTCTTGAGGTGGGAGAGGGCGCTTTTGATCACCGCACCGGGGAGAAGAGAAGAGAGATGTCCACCATGGGCGAGAAGGGTGCATTGATGTGAATCGTGTGTTTCTACATTGTGTTTTTTATGTATTTGTTGTTTATTGATATTTCCATTTGATAGTAACTAATAATGCGCGTTGTTTTTTTTTGTTAAATGGATTCTATTAATAGAACCGTTGTGTTATTCAAACTGACACACACACACAAACTTGGAAGGACATGGCGCTTCGGGTTCAACCGGATGGCGCTTTAAGTGAAGCAGTCCGGGACACACGTGTGTTGTGATCCAATGTACCGATTGTAATTCATGTGTTATTCAAACTATCTCGGATGCTCCATGCATTCTGTTCTGAGAATTGCATATCTAATAGTATATAATTATACTACGTGTATGAAATATATTGTATATAATATAATATATACAATATATAATATATCTTAGTAAGTTATACCCGCCTTACTGGAGACCCTCCAGTCCGGCCCCACAACGCGCGCGGGTCACTTCGCTTCGCGTCAGGTCTCCCCTGCGGCGTGCCCAGTACTGGATGGAGCCCGGTGGCTGAGACGGTGAGACGGTGAAATCCGAGTGGAGACGGTGGAGACGGAGATCCGAGTGACGCACCCAGCCAGGTAGAGACGGTCGAGTTTTGGAGGGGGAAAGGCCCTAACTGGGGAGGTGAGCAGTGAGCTGTGAAGTGACCATGTGGGAGGTGCTGGATTCGATTCTTTGGATCGATGTGGATTGATTGGGGTGGATTGAGGTGGTAGTTGGGGCGGATTGATTTGGATTGATGGGTGATTGATGTGGATATTTTTTTGAGGAGGGGTGAATGGGGCTAGAATGTCAGATCATCCACATTGTGGACAGTCTCCAAAGCAGATAAGGGTTCTCCAAAGCAACTTTGATCAACTTGTCGACACGTAAGGGTTCTCCGCGACAGACGTGTCTTCATGAATCTGCACCAGCACGTTTACAGCTTCCTGAAGTCGACGCCTTGAGGTTGAATGGACAGAAAATCCTGCTTGAAGAACAGCGGATCGAGGACCTGAAGAGCAGCCACACTGATCACTGATGGCGGTGTGATCAGGCGATCGTAGACTGGCATATTCACATACATTGAGGTGGTGGATGTCAAGGGTCAATCAAACTCCCAGTCCCATGGAGTGGATTATCTTCCCGCTGCCGTGCTTTTTCACATGGATTTGATGCTTTTCATCTGCCCCCGTATTTGAATGAACACCCGGAGCCAAGCACGCCAGAATCCATCCCCGCTTTCAGCGGCGCCAGTGGCGCCATTTGAAGCCAAGCCATGCCGACAGGACATGCAAACCATGATGGAAGTCATGGAGACCAGTGAGGAGTTGGATGCGGCCAAAACGCAATCAGAGGCGGGGATGAGACCACTGGGTCGTCCTGATCACTGGGTACCCTGCCATTAAAGACTGCTCTACCCTGCTAGACCAGACCTCTAGCCAGGACACCCAGACAGCATGATATCCTTATAGATCCAAGTACCGTGTCAGAAGGTGATTGGAGACTGATTATGTAGGCGCCATGAATAAAACCAATCGTACCGAACCTGAGGTACGGTGGCAGTGGATCCCTAGGGATACTGGAGGGTGTCATTGTTGGATGCTGTGATTTTTCTTCGGACTGCTGCTGCCATCCGAAAACATCGCGCCGGTGGACGGTTGGAGTCGGTACTCTGAGGTTCTTTCTGGAATTTGGTGGGGGGGAAGTGTAGATTGAAAGACTCATCTAAAGTGGAGAAGAGGTAAAAGGCCTTATAAACTACGATTACTTTTGGTTTCTCTACCAACTAAGTGGTTGTTGATGTACTTCCAGCATTGTTTCAGGGAGTATCTCTGTATATATAGACCCTCAAACAGGTCGAAAAATAGATCCCTACTAAATTGGACCACTGTTTCTATTCATTTGTGGATCACTATCTGGATGATGGATTGAGCTGGTTGTTTCCTTTCGCAGGTGGATGGACTCCGGCAGCGGAACCGGAGCAAGGCCGCAGACCGCAGAAGCACCGAGTCAGATGATATCGCATGACAGTGGCGAGCAAAGTCAGTTGGGGGGTGGCTGAAGATGTTACACGTGTTATTATATATGTTGTTATGTTTTGTTCTTTTGTGTGTTTACTGTAATTTTGAAAATCTTTATGATCATAGAAGTTATAGGTCAATCTATTTGTCAGTGTTTTGGAATCCAGGAGCTGTGAGCTGGGTGGTCAACGGCTCGTCTTCAATGAGCCAGCGGCTCGTGGACGTTCTGAGCAGCAAAATCAAGGGCCCCTGATGTTTGGTTTGGCACCCTGACATGGAACTATCATGGAACATCTGCTTACCTAGACACTTCATCACTTCTAGACCATGAGATAGACCCCTAGACGTCTAGGGCATCCCATAGACCAGCATTGGGCATACAACCGTTCTGATTGTCTCGTTTGTTTGCCATTGGCCAAAGCCTCAGCCGCAGCGTGCTGCTGCTCTGGCGCTGCTCTGGCGAGTGGCGTCATGGGCGCAGTCGCCGGGCTGCAAGCAGGACAGCAAGGCCCCAATGGTCAGTCCTCCACCAACAGATCCGCGACTTTGAATTGGGGCGTTGGGGGTTCGCCATGTTTAGGACTCGTTTGCGATGCTGACCAGACGTCGGGTCTGACTTGATCTTCGAACAGGACTCGTCGTTCCAAGATTCAGTGCTCGTATTGCCCTAGGGATCCACATGCTGTACCTTCTCAGAAGGTACGACTGGGCCCTCCTGGCGCCTACATAAAAAAGTCTTCAATCAACTTCTGAGAAGGTGCGACTGGATCCCTAGGGTTGATGCATGTCCTCACAGTCCCAAGGGTTGCTTGTCTGCGGCCCCGGACGTGATGTCCGACAGCTCGCGTGTGATTCTTCTCATCCGATTTGGAGACTGGAGACCGTCCTTTGTGGCCGTGGCGTGTGGCGTGGAGACCTCATCCGTCGTCCAAAAGCCACTGTCCCAACCACACGCCACTGGTCCGACAGGTGTTCACCACTGTCCTTCACTGTCCCAACAGGGTGCAGAACTTCAACGAACCGGTGCTCAGCCGTTACCGTGTTGGACGACGGGGGAGTGTGTGGAGTGCTCCAGCAGCTGCATGCAGCGAGCTCTGTCACTGTCACCGTGCCCGACCGGTGTCCGTCTGGAAACCTGCAGATCAATACCATCTCCTCTATACTCTAGGGATCCAAGTACCTTCTCAGGTTCGGTACGACTGGATCCCTAGGGATAGAGAGAGAGAGAGGTTGGTGTTTCGCCCCAAAACTCCAGGCTTTCACGAAGTCGAATGTGACCGTCTTCTTAAGTCGACGAAGTCGACCGTCCGATGGCCAGCTCCAGTGGTCAATGTTTGTGAAGGAACGGAGATCACCAGACGTGGAGTTCGATGAAGCCATGGGTCTCCTTGGTCGAGCCTGAAACGCCAAGAGGAGGCGATCCTTTGGTCTCCAGGGAGGAAGCGAAAACGTCCAGATGTCAGACGCGCATGGATCATTGCAGGAGACTTCATCCTCTGAAGCAGGTGCCAAGCAGGTGCCTGGACCCCTCAAGTAAGAGAAAAATAAGAGGGGCGCCAAGTACTTCCTTGTTCGTTGAGTTTTCCATGTCCCATTTTCAAGAGGGTGCTTTTATCATGGTTTATCACTTTTTTCTTTTTTGCATCACACTCCAGCTGCAGAGTTGACCAGGTGAGTTTCGTTTGGTTTTTCCACCTTCGCCGAGCTTCGCTTGATGTGGTTCCGTACGATCAAGCAGCACGGATCCTCCAGGCTGCGATAGGATGGTTTCTCCCTCCGACCAAGGTACAGGCCTCGCCGAAAGTGACCAGCAAGGCCTTCTTCGACGTGGCGATTGGTGGAAAAGCCACTGGCAGGTGGCTTGGATCAACGGAGCTGTTCAAAGCGAGTGTTCGGGAGAAGGATAGAGACCGCATTGGGTCAAAGCTGAACTTGAGTTTTGGGTAGGCGAATAAGGCGAATGAGGCCATCAAAAAGAAGATGGGACGTTTGTCCCCCCCTATTTAAAGAGTTAAGTTCTATCTTATAAGATCTTATAACGCTTATAAGTGATTCTATAGCTGCATGGATACGTATGGCGTATGGATATACGATACATATGGATACAGACGATCACTCGGTGTATCTATACAGTTTCTTGTTAATCTATACAGGAAGGTATATACTTATTGTCACTATATAGTCTTCTCAAGCACCGTGAATTGTCCGATGTTTGCCCGTATTTTTGTTGAGAGAGAGCCTGGTGTCTAACACCCACCCGAAGTCCTGGTAGACCCGCACCAGTGTTCAGCTCCCCCGGCTCGCGGAGTGGTGGCCCAGCCGTTTTGCAGAACTGCATGCAGAGATGAAGCTACTGACATGATAGGAACTGCCAGGTTCATTTGAGTGTGTAGAGAGAGGACAGGAGACTCTTCCATGCTGCGAGTTGTTGGGATGTGTTTTTTAGTGGAAGGTTAGTTTCTTAGGTGCTTAACTGAAAGATTCTCAGCTAGGATCGAAACAAACTAAGAGCAGTATGTGGGTGGTAGAGGCGGCTAACAACTGTAAGAAAGACCGTTTGCAATGTTCACAGACATGGTGAGTCTGATTGAAGAAAGTGTCAGACTCAGATTGATAAGACTCTTACATATTACAGTTAAACTATATCCCTAGATATCCCTAGCCTATAATCCCCTACTTATATAGACTCATATGAGATGCACTTCTTCGTCCTCACTCGCTCTGACACCTCTTCATGTGTTTGGCAGCTGAGATCCGAGGATCGTGTTTGGCTTATATGGAATCAAGGCTGCAACTGTGCGATCGGAGATGCTTTTGGCATTCCAGGCCATGCGGTTTTTCTTCTATAGAGACAGATAAGACATGTTAACACAGACCATCAAAACGCCCCCGAGTTCGATGGTAAATGTCTTGAATCCCGCTTGTGCTCCTGGCCCAAATCCTAACAGGTTCGGTGGGCCAGGGCCGGGTGCATGCGTGCGCTTGGGGGGTTGGTCCCTACCTTCGGAGATGGTTGAAGCCCAAACAGGAATGCCCAGCTCCCTGTGGCTGCACGACCATGTCCAAACGCCATGTCCCACTGTCACGACCAATGACTGTGGCAGCTCTTTTCCTTTAGCCAACGGTCCGTTTAGTCGGAGACAAATCCAAAAGAACGGGTGCCGAACGGTGTTTCCAAACCAGAAGGGGGCGCCAACGGTCCTCCTGAAACGATCAGATCCAAGGAGAACACGTGCCAAAGACCGTGGCCAACTTTGAAACCTTGTGCAAGTGCCATGGCTGGACGTCCCATCGCCTGCCGCCAGCTGCGGGCGTATTTTTTTGGCCTCCCAGAAATGTGTCCCCTAAGGTTTGGCGAAACACCGTGGTGCCCTGGTCTATACTTTTCTTGAAACGAGCACTTCGTGTTTGCGTTACAAGGACTGCGGAAAGACAGTTGGCTGTTGCAGTTTAAGCACGGGACCAGTGGTGGGGACCATACCTTAGCATTCCCCCGCAGCAGATTGAAACGCCTGCGGCTTTTTGTTGGGAGCTTTCGCATGACCGGGGTGCACACGGATCCAAAGCAATGAATTCTGATTTGAGCTGTTCATGTTTTGCGAAAGGACAGCCACCGAGCTTAGATTCCCACACTGGTGGTGCAGCTCGACTGTGGATGGCGAAGTAGCAGGGTCTTTAAAAAACGGAGGGATATGATTATAGGGACTGCTTCAGAAGGGAACAATGGTAGTTCGTGTTCAAGCAAGAGATGTTGGACCAAAGACACCCTGCGGTCTGCAACTTTGCAGGTGTGACAAGGGCCCACCACTCTGCTACAAGGGCTCTCCATTCCATCGTGCCTCACCTGTCAATTGGCTGCTGAAACCGAGCTGTTCAAAGCCGATCATCATCGAGAATTCCTTCCACGCACATGTTGGAAAGTTCTGCGCATTTGACAGTACAAGAAAGGATTCAAGAAACCAACAAAACAAAACATGTGCCTGGTTCGTTTGTTGGTGCTTTTGGGTTCGTGTTCTATGGTTGCTTTTGTTCCCTTCCTTCAGACTTCTTCTGTCTCTGAAGTGATGTGGCTGAAGCTTCCCACCTTCGCTGCGCTGTCAGGCATCATCCCAGGCTTCATGGTGCAGGGCGGCGACACCACGCGAGGGAATGGCACTGGAGGCATGTCCATCTATGGAGAAAGGTTTGCCGATGAGAGGCCTCTCGGCTTAGGATCGAAGCTAACTCTTCGTGCTTGTTTTTCTTTTGGTCTATTCTTTGTGCCCTTTGCAGACCTAAGGTCCGGACAGGCAGGACATTGAACAAATACCTTTGTGCCCCATGCACGAATTGAAGATATATATTATATATATATATGACATCACTTGACGCCCATGTGCGCACCGCTGTCGGCGTGCGCTCCGCGGTCGGCGCGTGGAGCCGTGAGACGCTCACAGAGCAAGTCACGAGTCCCATCCTTCCCATGGCTTCGTGACACCCGGTGCACCGGGACACCCGGGTTTTTCCAACAAAACATGAAGAGGATACCAGGCTGAATGGTGCTCCAGGTTTTGACTCGCGGTGCAAGAAGGTGCAAGCAAGTTGCTTGCAACCTCCACTAGCCGCTGGATCTCTGGCATTTTTTTCCTTGATCCATCCTAGGTTTGGCGTGCCACATAGCAGAGGTGGACTACTTAGCATGGCGAATGCTTCTCGTCCTGTTGACACGGACTTGGAACTATGTCCTCAAGCAGGTCCCACTTGGACGAACGCAGATATATTACCCAGACACTCCATGGGACTGCCATATTGCCTACATTGAGGTGGTGAAAATAGGGGCGGCAAATATGGGGCAGTCCTATGGCAGTCCCATGGGTCGTGTCTGGGATCATAGCCACTTAGCTTTCTGTTCTTTCTTGCTTCAAGATGTCGCCTCTTCTCCCATTGTTGAAATGCCGCTCGCAGAAGTTCTCTGCAAATCTTCCAAAGGATCGGACGCCCGATCTGATCGTGAAGTGGTCGCGGTTATAACCCGGTGTTCCCGCCGCGCCGAACGACCAAACGAACGAAAAAGAAAGAAAGACATGCACACAACCGCACATCGCAACGCAAAGAGGACGACCAAAACAAACATCAAGCAAAATTGCCAGATTGTTTGTTTAATTGGAGAGGGAAGAAGACGACCGATCCTTCGTTTTTCACTGGTATCCCATCCTTACACAGTGCCGCTCGACGGAGCATTGGCGAACATCACATGACCGAGGAAATGTGCCTGCGAATTACCCACAGGTGCACAATGTTGGAAGACATTTTTTGCAGTTTGCTGACCAAACTCCAAATCCAGTCCAGGCATTTAGACGAAGGCTTCACCCTTGGGTGTCATAAGTGGTACAATGGACCATATCAAGATCCTGTAAGAACTATGGGTTGCTTGTGGCTCTGCCTTGGCGGTCTGCCAAGTCACTTCTGGCGAACCAGCTGCGACGCTCACGTGCGACGCTCACGTCCTAACCTTAGCGCGGCGGTCGCAGCGTCCTAGCGGTCGCTCCCAGGCTGGGCCCGACACGAATGGCTCGCAGTTCTTCATCACCACGGCAGCAGCACACCACTTGGACGGCGCGGGGTGGGAAGAGCGAAGGCCATATGTTTGAGGCGGCGTGCACCATGAACATATATACCACGGTGCACCAGGTTTGACCAGTGTTTTGATTTGAAACGACCATGTGTTGGCTCCAAAACAGGTGTCAATCAGGTTCTAGGTATATATAGTTATAGTTATATATGTAGTTTGAGGAAGACATAGGAGTACTATGGAGGACATTGGAACACTATATTGTGCACTACAGCGTTTGTAGAGTAGATGGAAACATATCCCCAAGTCTGGTGGCTAATATGGACCCCCCATCCAAAAGACCTGGTGTGCCAGTGCCCTCGAACCTCGGAAACCACTGGGAGAGGGGCTTCGGGCTCCACTCCAGGTCGGCTTGAGTTTCGGTTTGCAGAGGACCAACAAGCTGGTGATATGTGGGGGGGGTGCACTGCAAGAGGTTCTCTCAGGTCGTTTATGGAGCAATCGATATGAAATATCCTACTTGTAGAAAAAGGAAGTAAGTGCGGCATGCCTCAAAATGATCATGAAGCTGGATGAGGTCCACAGATTTTCTTTTAAAGCAATCTTTGGTTCAGGCCCACAGCTTTTGAAGGCGAAGCTTCAAGCAACTTGCAACCCTCAGCTCCACTTGCTTTCAAAAGTCCTTTTGGATCCGGCGATGCTCCCCAGACCATCCATGTATGGAATATGAGTCAGTTGTACCCCATGAAAATGGCCCATTCATGTAGGTAACGATACTTATTCCATCTTATTCCAGTCCGGATGGTCCGGGTTCCTCAGCCTCTGACGACCTCAGCTGGCAGGCAAGCACGTGGTCTTCGGCGAAGTGGTGGAAGGTGCCCAAATGGTGGTCTTAAAAAAGAAGAGAACACTCAGATTAACATGAAGATTCATCCAATATCTTGGATAAAATCACGGGATAAAATCATGATTTGGATTTTGTTCATGTAAATCTTTGCAACTCGTACGCCAACCATCTGGATCGACATCATCGCTATGGATTGATCGCAGAAAGAAGGTGACAACGATGACAACCGTGCACATTGACATGCACGTGTGTTTCTTTAAACGTGTTCAACATGTTCTTCTCTCAACCTCAGTGGGGACCCCTCGCTGCTTTCATCCAGACCGCCCGACCCGCCGTTCCTGCGCGTTCCTTCCGCTCGCGGCGCGCGTGGCGGCGTTCCACGCGCCGAGGGGATCAGGTCGTCAAGGCCCTGGAGTCACACGGGACCCGGCGCGGGCGCCCCACGGAGGAGGCGAAGATCATCGACTGCGGCGCCCTCGGCGGAATACGCGACCAAAAACGGGCGGAGGGCGGAGTGTGGGGCAAGGTGAGTGGAGTGCTCAAGGTGGGGGGGGAATGTGGTTGGTGGTCACTGTGTGGTGGTAGGTGGGGAGTCTTAAGGCTGTTAAGTGATGATGGTTCAGTTGTGCATCCACAAAGCCGAAACCTAAAGCATGTTTGCAGGAAACACACATTGCTTAGTACATCTTAGTTACTAGATGTTACTAGTACCAGTTACCAGCACCAGTACTAGTTTGAGGACCAGCTTGCTGGTCCGAAGACTGGTACTGGTACTGGCCATGGCAAGCGACAAATTAGTATCACTGTTGTTTCACCTTTCTGAGTTTGTGTTTTTGTATCGGCCTTGTCACAGTGCTCCTGTCCGATGAAAGGTGTTTTGCCGGACATTGAGTAGATTCGCCCAAGCGCTGTTGCTAGCAGCTGGCGGAAAAGAAGCGCAAGAATCCGCAAGAAGAAACGCTGAAAGAGTTATGCCGCCATAAGTTGCATGTTTCCCGACAGATGCTGGATCTAGAATGGTCTTATCATGTCATATCTAATTAAAAGCATCAGCTCGGAATTGCACAATGTCACATAATGTCTATATATATATATATGAGCGACGGACAAAATTATTGGCTGACTTATTTAGTCACCGCATGACCCTAAACCTATGTTGAGGGCTTTGTTTCTGTGGAAAACGATATGGTCCCCACCAAAAACGATAGTCTTGTTAAGATGTAGTGGGTACAAAGATGTTTGTGGTTACCAGATGCGATTGCATTTGCAAGTTTATTTGAGCATATTTGAGCAAAACCGATGGGCACCTCTTTTCATCAATGATAATCCCAGACAACTTCCCAAACGATAATCCAAACGATAAGCGAACGATAACCTAAATGTCACGCCAGGCACTCCGTAGACCTACTTCTCCACATTACTAGTGTTGGTCCGAGTGCATAAATCAAGTGCTGTGCCATTCCTGTGCAGAAAGCACTGTAAGCCTCTAATCTGAGGTTGTGAGTCATATTTCGTGTTTTAGCCTATGTGCTGGTATGCTATGCTAACTACGGTTTGGAGAAACATTGGAGAACGATATGGACCCCACCAAAAACGATAATCATGTCAAATGGTATTGCGCTACACAAGTAATTTTGTCCGCTGCTCATATCAATTCAGAAGCAAACTTGACATCTCTGTCTTTTTGGTGTTTGAAGACCATGTCGTTCTTTGTTGTTCTATTGACCGAGCATGCGATCCGTGACCCCTTTCGCTCGACGAGATGTGCAGATCGAATCCGTGGAGTCGGAGCTTTCCGAGATCTTCAAGCATGAGGAGAGTGGGTTCCGTGGTCCGTGGACGAGCGAAAGGCATCCGTTGCGAGCGAAGAGCGTCGTGCCCGAAGCCGTGCCCTGGAGGGTAGAAAAACTGGGTTCTCAGCATGGTGATGTGGATGGTGTGGCCCATTCGATGACCATGTTCCTCTACTTCACAGGTGGTGCCATCCACTTCCATGATGATTCCAAAAAAGGAATAATATAATCCTCACCCAGACACGACTAATGGGACTGCCATAGGACTGCCGCCCCATTGACCCCCCACCCCAACTGATCGGTAAAAGTCCCAGACAGGTCGTCTGTGGGTCATGAATGTTCCTTTGTGTCAAAGGTGGGCACTGGGGTGCTTTGACCAAAAACTCTGACGACATTTTATCGGCTCTCCTTTTGGGATCTTTTCGGGGGAGATGCTCGATGGTTTTTTCAATGGGTCTCCAAAAACGGGGTGTAATCCGCCGGGTTCACAGCAGCTTCACGATGGTTTTTCTTCTGCAGAGTTTCTTTGAAGTGGGTGTCTATAGGTGAAATCCACTGAACCCTGATGACGTGATCTGCTTGGATGAAACAGTGGCTCAAGATGGCTCAAGTGCGATATGCGCACACCACTTTGGTGCTCGTCGACGTTTTCGACCAAACACAATCAACTCCTCCGCAAGGCAGAAAGACATGCAGGGCATTTCCTGTAATCCACTGAAGCATGCACACGCGACGTGCGTAAGCCAGCATAGCTAGTCATAGCATAACTATGTGGATGCATGTTGGACTTGTTCCCCCTATGCAGTTCAAGGTTTCCAGCACCAGCAGAGGTTGAAGGACCCGAACTAGCCTATCCAGGTTCGGTACCCCAGCAAGGTCCTAGTTCAGGTCACTGGCTACCTCTCTTGGCACTGTCAATCAACGGACGATCCTCTCGCTTGCCCGAAGCACCGTGGCATCCGCTAAACACTTCGGTCGACAGCGGCTCGACCGAGCTGGTTGGGGGAAAGGGCCGGAGTTGCACGCGGCACTTGTTGATACCTTATTGGGCCCCCAAAACCACGCAGAGATGAAGGTGGCTTGGCTGGTTGTTTTTAGGAAGCGAGCTGGAAGGCACTCTTTTTGAAGCTGGCCATCATATGACTTGAGAACATTTGGTGACTTCACTTGTTTGGTGGAGCTTGACTTTGAGGTCACAAAAGGAGCGTGTGGAACATTTTGTGGCCTTCACTCACTATAACCTCACTTCCACGGGATTTTGAGGCTTTGCTACTAGCTTGGAGGCCATTGCTATTAGGAGCGATCGGACGCTACGAACGGGGCTCCTGGCCTTACTACGAACGGAGCGATCGGGCGCTACGAACGGAGCCAAAGGGCATTGCTATTAGCAGGCTACTTGCTCCTCACTACGAACGGGCCAGGAGATCCGTTCATAGCGTCCTTAGGAGTAAAGGCCATCCGCTCTTCGGAGTGAAGGTCCTTTCTGCCGCCCCAGGGCCATGAAGCTCGCTCGGCGGCGTGCGCCGGAGCGCCGGGGGGACTCGGAGCGAAGGGGAACAGCGTGGAAAGCGAGGCAGTGGATGGCAGTTGGGCAGGCTGAATCTGAAGGAATTTGCACTTAAACAAGTATGCCCTATAGTAAGAGCAACTAAGTGCCTTCTGGCTGTCGAATCTGAGGCTTGGACATGACCCCGATGCAAATCATGACCCAGCACAACATGTCTAGGCCTCAGGTGTTGCATCGATAGCGAAACGACAAACACGATTTCTTTTGATCTTTGCGGTGGGTTGGCAGGGTTGATCTGATACACTTTGGGTTTGTGCTTATTACCGGCTCTAACAGTCAGTAAATCATCCACGATCCAAAGAGAATACACTTAGAATTTCGATATATATATATATCTTCAAGTGCCGCTGATGCGGCAAGCACAGTTCGCATCACCAACATCATTTGCCTTTCCTATAGACTTAGAATGACTTAGATATGGTCCAATACTGTCCAGCTTGTCCAATTTCGACCAGTTGGAACACTACTTCTGGCCGATGTGTTCCTGGCCCTGGCGGGACATTTGGCCATTTGCTTGGTTGACCTGCGCGCTGGAAGACTCGTCAGTGGGGTCAGTGGGATCCACCGGAACCAGGGACCGGTGCGGCTGGAGCCGGCGCCGACATGCAAAGGCCTGGAGGTGTCTCTTTGTTCACCGTACCGATCGGTTTTTCAGTGGATCGATAGGGATTGGAGGTTCTCCACTCCCGCCAAACAGTTCAGTTCAGTCTTCACCTTTAAGGATTCGCCGGGTCGGGTGGTCAGTGAGGTCCTTTGGCTCAAGATCCACCACCTGGTGAGGGTGGGGTCCCCTCTAAGCGTGGTCAGTGAGGGTCCGAGCGGCAGCGCTTCAACCTGCCGAGGCGACAAGAGAAAGAGCGGAAGCTGACGGCCAGCAGTTCGGACCTGAAAGAGATGTTCCTTTCACGGCCAGTCTGCCCAGTCTGGCTACAGCAGTATGAGAGTGGGTGTGAGTCTCATCAATGCTTGTTTGGAGAACGATGTTGTTTGAACAACATGTCCTCATGAGTCTCTCAAACGATACCTCTAAGATGTCCTGCAACGGCCAGTTCTAGGTATCGTTTGATTTGGGTTTGGAGATTCAAACCAAACACATCTACCAGGACCTCCGATCGAACGCCGAGTTGGCCGATTGGTGCAGACGATGATTGACTGGAAGAGTCTCCGATCGGAGCACGAACGCCGAGTTTGCTTCGGAATCCATACGATTCCATGGGAGAGCAACTGGTTTTCTCCATCCTCATGGAGATCTGAGCCGATCTGCGTCGTCTGGAAGATTTGCAAAGCTTCCCGGAAAATGCTGGAAAGGCTCTGAGCTTTTCGGGCTTCCATACATTCCTCCACCCTCCCCCAGTACCTCTGCCAGACCATCAACAATAGCCAAAACCATTATCTGCCACACCTCCACCAAAAATATGTTTAATGACTGATGTGTCCAATCCTCTTCGACACATTCCTCTACCCGCTGGGTGACATCTTCGTCCATCTCACCCAGATGGGTCCATCCCAGCACCTCACGTGTTGTGTGTCTACAATTCAACAACTTCAAGGAACTGCTCTAAAAGAACAACTTCAAGGAACTGTTCTAAACGGTGCAAGTCTTGAAATTCATGAAATAATACAAGTTTTGTGCATTTTGTATTCCAGTCCCATGGATTGTATACACATGTGCAAGTACTTGGAGGCCATTGCTACTAGGTTACTAGGTTGGAGGCCATTCCTATTTAGGTTCCTTTGGCTATTAGCTTGTTTCACTCAGGCCAAGATCTGTCGCATTTGGCTTTCATTGGAGCGCCCTATTGGCCTGGGGCCCTACCCGTCGTCGATCTGTTCAGAAGCGAGTTGCACGTGTGGAAGTCACAGACGCGCACGTGTTTCACGCGTGTTTCAAGTCACAGTCAATGGTCCCGTGTTTGTTTTTCCAAATGACCAGCTGTGTTCGTCTCGTCTTAGTGGACCCACCCTTAGGGAGGCTCAAGTGGCCCAAAAATCTAGACCGGGAGAAGTGTTGGACCCCACCTAGCAGGATTGGGCTAACATCACCTGCAATCGATCAGCCAGCCAGGCCAGTCCAGTGACGACCACATACAGCAGACACAATGACATATAGGCTCGAGATTGGCTCGAGATAGCCATCCTTTTCAGCATTCATCATTGATGAGTCTCCCTTAGGAAAAAAAAACAGATGACGCACTACGTAGAGAAAGAGAGTACACCCGTAGTGAATCAGCTCCCACAGAACCAGCTGTACGAAGTCAATTGATGACTCCGCACAGACAGAAGCATTCGAAAGCACGCCCCTGCAAGGTGGTCAGACCCCAAAAATTCAGTGGCCCCGAAGACGACAGAGAAGAAGCATTGACATATACACCAAGTCAGTTCTTCGAGATCAAATGAAAAGGATTTATGAGGATTTATGCAGTATACAACATGTTTATATGATCCATGCCTTTCAGACGCGACTGGTATGGGACTGGCATATTTACGTAAAATGGATTCCTGGACCCCTAGTTTAGACCAGCATTCATGAGTGGGTCTGCCATGCTTGGTCTTCGAAAAAAAGTAATTTGCCGTCTGACGGCACGATGTTAAATCTCATCCGACATGGTTGTCATGTTGATTTGCTCCGGTGTTTAAACCTAAGATGTTGAGTTGTTCAGTTGTTCCAAGTGTTGTCATTTCTTGATTTGTCATCAAGATCTTCCAAGATGTCCCAAAGACTCATAGACTCATAGAAGTCTAACCCCAACCTGCCCCTCCATGCACCTCCTTTATTCATCAGGCTTTGATGCCACCTGTTACCTGAACTGGAGATCACCGGTGATTCTGAACCCGTTTTTTGGAGACCGAGAAAGTGGTGAGATGTGAGATACATGGGCTACACGTATATCGGCCCCCCACGGGCGGCCGGTGTGTGGCCGTGGCACGTATCATCAACCGTACTCATTTCACGGTAGCTCCTGGCATTACTACTAGGAGCAAGAAGCTACGAACGGAGCAAGACGCTACGAACGGAGCGATCGGACGCTACGAACGTAGCGATCGGACACTATTGGGTGGAGGCCATCGCAAGTAGGTTGGAGGCCATCGCTACTAGGAGCAAGAAGCCACGAACGTAGCTATTTGCTACTAGTAGTAGTGCCCTTGTTACTAGTAGCGATGCACCTTGCTACTAATGGAATCACCCTTCAGGAGTTCTTCCAACATCAATCGCCCCCCCACTGATCTACCGAGAACACCTCCCAGATTTTCCTGAACGGGGCGAATCCCCCTTCTGGGGAATATTGTTCTTTTGTCCATGTTCCTGGACAGCATATCCAAGACATGCTTCTTGCACCGTCTGAACCACCTTCCATCGCCTCCCATCCGTCCATGCCACGCCATCCTCCCACCGCACGGCCTCTCGCCTCTGTCTCCTGCGCCCCGCTCCGCTCCCGACCCCGGAGCGGCGCACC